ACATCAGTACCTTATGTTCACAAGACCCGATATTACTAATGTCGTACAACAGGTATGCTTATTTATGCATGACCTAAGGAATGAACACTTTGCGCTACATCCAACGAGGTATGCTTATTTTAGTCTTCACATGTTTCCGTCCTCCAACTCAACCCTTATTTCGTATACTGATGTTGATTGGGGTGGATGCTCGGACACACGATGTACAACGTTGGATTACTGTGTCTTTTTGGGTGATAACTTGATCTTTTGGTCCTCTAAACATCAGGCTACCTTATCCCGTTTTAGTGTAGAGGCAGAATATTGAAGGGTAGCCAATGTGGTTTCAGAGTCATATTGGTTGTGAAATTTGTTGTTGGAACTTCATTGTCCTACACAACAGGCTACATTGGTGTATTGTGATAATGTGAGTGCCATATATCTTGCAGGTAATCCGGTTTAGCATCAATGTACTAAGCACATTAAAATGGATATACATTTTGTCCAGGAAAAGGTGGCTCGCGGCCAAGTTCGCGTGTTACATTTCCCCTTGCGTTATCAGATTGCAGACATATTCACCAAGGGTCTTCCTTTGGTGTTATTTGAGAACTTTCGGGACAGTCTTAGCATTCGACAACCTCCTTCTTTGACTGAGGGGGTGTGTTTGAACATATGATGAATATATAAATAGATTTATTACCTTTGTTAAGTGTATATTTAGTTCCTACTTATAGCTAGGTGTATATTTAGTTTCCTTAATTATAGTCTTGTATTGACTGTTTATAAACCATTTGATATTAATGAAATAGGAAGGGGATTAAACTCTTTTAAAATCATCAGCAAGAATACCCGCTTTGATTCGAGACTTTTCTTTTTTTTAATGACCAAGCTAACCACTACTTTTGGTACCTCAATAATGGCAAGATGAAATTTGATGGTGGCTTAACAGTTTCAGAAGGTGATTCCGCGTTCTAATTATCCAAGTCTAGATCTTGTGAATATTTGTTAAGAAGGAATTCATCCATTGTTTGTTCCAATAACTCTCATATCAAAATATTTCTTCTTTCCTTTTGTTTCCTCTTTCGATAGAATTTCCTTCTATCCATCATTTTCTTCAATCGATGATAATTTCTTTCGTCTGAGTTGAATGCAACTTGAGATACATGAAAACAATTATCAAATTACAAACAAATTCAAAAATGTAAACTTTCAAAATGATTCAAAAAATTCAAGATTTTAAAAAAAATTATAATACCTTTTTATAGTCGTTTTTTTAAAAATATAATTTTGAAATTTAGTTTATAAAAAAATCAGTTAGTGTTCATTTCCTCACAAAGAAAATCAGTTTATGTTATTTTCAACTAAACATTCACATGGAAAAGTTCTTTGCCAACCTACAAATTACAGTTTACCGCCATAAAAATCTCAACTAACAAAACTATTTTGACGTTACGGAAAAGGGTCAAAATTGTCCCTAAACTATGTAAAATAGACCACTTATATCCTTCGTTACATTTTGAGATCAAAAAATGTCCCTGTTGTTATCCTAACAGACCACAAATGCCCTCAAGAGTTAACACCCCAAATTTTTATTGTCGTGACAAGCCATGTCGGACTAATCCTTCCACCAAAGTGTTGTCAACTAGGATTCACTACAATAGAACTAGACCTTTAGTGGCGACAATCGCCACAAAAGCCCAAAAAAATGTCACTAAAATATTTTAACATTTAAATTCTAACTGCGTTTTTTTCTTCATTGTTTTTTAAAAAACAAAAATTATATCGATTAAGTAGGGATTTGAAGACGTTGTATGCTTTATTTTTATGTCATATATAAATTATAAAATGTTCAATGATGCATTATATAGTAGGATATTTGAATCGAAAAGTAATTTTGATGATTTTCCTAATAATATTGGATATTTTTTATATTGATTTTGCAAGTTATTTATTTCAGAAAATTAGGTTGCAATCAAAAATTAATTATCATATTTTTTTGTTGAAAAAATAGGTTTTGCTAGCGAATAGTTGTTGGAACTTTTAGTCGCCACTAAAAATCACTCATAAACTTTAGTGACAATATTTTATGATTTTGTGGTGACTTTGTTTCCACTTAAGGTCAAGTTCATTTGTAGTAATTCTTAGTTAGCAATGCTTAGGTGGAGGGATTAGTCCCATGTGACTTGCCACGTCACTAAAAATTTGGGATAACGGCGGGGGTATTTTTTATCCCAAAATGCAATGGAGGGTATAAGTAGTTTATTTCGCATAATTCAGGGACAATTTTAACCCTTTTCCTTTGATATTATAATGGCATGTACTGATCTAACTTCACGTACTCACTGACATGACAAATGAGCTGAAAGCTCGATTAGTATTGTTTTGTTTGCAAGTCGTTTGGTACATAGTTGGTTATAGTTATGTGGGTGAATTTATGTATCATTAATGAAAAGATTCAGTACACACACTGATAGAGTTGTAGAATGCAATTGCATACCAAAGCTTCTAATTTAGTGCTTGACTCGAATTCATTTCGATGAATTTTGTTCAATACGCTGGAGGAGCTAAACCCCTTGACAGTAGGTTCAGAATTAGTATCTCCGTTATTATTATTTGCAGTGAAGTCAAATGTGAGGGCCTTCGGTACATGAAGGGCATGCCATTCTCCTCATAGGAAATATGCGAAAATAGTTTTTCAGCAGAGTTCCATCCCGGACACTACACCAAATACAAAATGAGGATACAGTTTGTAATAAAAATATCCTTGCTTTCTTCTTACTTTTTTTCACTTGGTAATGACAAATTTTATGTGAAGAAAAAGAATGAAATATCAGAGAGATCCAATTGTTCTCGACATCTACGGAACAATGTCTTGTAGGTTTCATATTCACCAATATCCAAAGAGTCTCTCCTCCTTGTAACTTGAACCTGAAAAGAAGTAACAAGTAAGAAGATACTTTTTTCGAATTGAAGCACACAGAATTAGTGCAATACAGAACTTACATCTTTTTTTAGAGTACAAGATCAGCAATTCTTTCTTTTTTGTTACGTTTTAGCAATAATTTTTTGAAAATTATGTGCTTCAAAAACACCATCAACATCGAAATTACAAGTTCACAATTGAGATAAATCAAAATATCATAAAATATTTAATTATATATTATACAAGCATATTTTAATTATTTGAAGGTTAAATGCAAGTTCGCAAAAATTGTGGCCCTTCATTGAATTAAAATCAAATTAAATAGTAATGTTTAAATAACATAAATAGTGAGTAAACAGAAAACTCAACAATCAAATTTAACCCTCCACATACAATTCTCCCTAAATGTGTGAAACTAATTTATTTACCCATTACGTAATTTTGTAAGTAATTTCTTACACAAATGAGAGGTTGCACATTTTCACCTATTATCAGCATATGTAATGTAACTTACACATATGTTTTGCCTCTAAAATAACGATATGAATTACCTCAATTATTACTACTAATTATTTTAAATTTTTTTTCTTCTCACCTATTAATTGTTTTCACAACCTTCCACATTCCTTGCTATTTTACAATATTTAATTTATTTTCATTAAATGATTTATCGTAAATACTTCTGCACATGAACATTTTTTTGGATGTGTAACAATTTTTTGAGAAACTGAAAAGCTAGTCCAATTAAACTGACTTGATATATTTATTGTATACTATTAACATAAACTCATGAAAAGAACTCATATATATAGATTTGTGATGGGTTTCAATCCAAATTTCAACGTGTAGTAATTCATTTTTAAGGTGGATATTTGGATACCAGAAGAAGTGATTGTTGTAGCACTAAGAATTTTGACTAACTCAATTATTTCTAATTTTTTATTTTATCTTCTTTTTTCTACAAAGAACATATGGATTGTTAGCAAGTATGAAGACACTTTTGTTATCTTTATATTTTGCTACTTTTGTTCCTTGTTACATGTATTTCGCTGGATCTTCACGTGATTTCTTAGCATATTTTATTTCTAATTTTTTTGTCACCTTTAGCCTTAACCAATCAGGTCTCTAACTAAAACTTCGGGCTAGAAAAATGTTATCATTTCTATTAATTATTATAATAAAACTTTGTTCTATCAGAAAATACATTTATCATTAATTCTAATGATTTTATATAAATTAGCATGGGATACACGTGCAACATGCGTGTCCAACAATAGTACTAGAAAAGAAGAAGAAGATGTTTCAACTTTACTATATCAACAATATGATCATGTATATTACTAACTATTAACTTACTTTGTTCCACCAGAGAAAGTATCTAGTACATCTCTCCCTCAAACTCTCGCTAGCCACTCTCCCTCTCTCGCTCCATTCCTCTCACTTTTATACAAAAGAAAGTGTACAAAATGTGTTTTTGTTTGTATAAAACGAGAAAAAATTATATGCATACATATATTTCGTTCCTCTCTCCCTCGTCACTCTTCCAGATCTCGCTCCCCACCTCGCCTATATCGCTTATACAAACAGAAACGAAATGTATAAATTATTTTTCTATGTTGTATAAAGCGAGAGAAAATTGTATATACACTTGCAAATACATATATCTTCGTCCTATACACTTATAATTATATAATACAAATATTTCCCCTGCCCAATTTTTTTTGTCTTTCTCTCTTCTCGTTTATACATACACAAATTATACAATTGATTAATATACAACTGTTTTCTTTTATATATGTATAATGAATTATACGATTGGTTTCTTTGTATATGTATAGCGAATTATACATATTTATATTTGCTATGGAGCGCAATTATGCAAATTTTGCTATAGTACACAAATATGAATTTTGTGTTTGTTATATGTGAAAGTTGCTCTATTTAATAATTATACATTGTACCCCTACATAAACAATGATTTTTTGACAACTTAAGATTGGAAGACAGACGCCAGATATAAAATACGCATATCGACAATTTAAGAAGCATTTAAGTAATATATCTAAATGTCAAGCGCAATGTAAATAAAAAAAAGGTGAAATGTTATAGGAGAATTCATAAAAAATACTAATGTACATACACAAAAAGAGCAGTTGTCGATGGTTTTCACTTCATCATGGGTGAAATTGTGATGCTAAACATGTATTTTTAGTGGCAATTAACACTTTTTGTATGTGTCACTAAAAACTTTAGCGACATTGGATCTAATAACACTTAACTAATGTCGGTAAAGACTTTCAACACACAAAACAAATAAGGGGCTATCAGTATCACACAAAACTTAGGCTGCTATTGAAAAAATAATAATAACACAAAGCGGGAAAATGACATTAAATTGAAGCAACATCCAATGTGTAACCATCAATAATATCACACAATGACTAGGTCATAATTATTAATGAAGTTGATAAGGGTAGAGTTTAATTGGAAGACCCTTGGCAGGAACAGGCATTGGATCAATAATAATATTCTCATCATGAATAAGTTTGTTCCACTTGAACCTTTTGAGAAGATGGTGCATGAATACAAGTATTTCTAATCTTGCATACTCTTTTCCAGGACACATCCTAGGACCTCCTCCAAATGGCACAAATGTGTATGGGGCTGGTCCTGATCCTTCAAATCTTGATGGATCAAAATTTAGAGGCTCTCGAAAATATTCTGGATTTCTGTAAGTTGTATTTGAGTTCCAATATAGCTGCAATATATTATTAATTCACACATTAAATAATTTACATAACATTATTCTAGCTAGTTTGTGAAGTTCAGTATCTTTAATTAAAAAAATTGACTACTCCCTCTATCCCATATTAGATGGCATTTTACTAAACTTGTTTGTCCTGTATTACTACTGGAAAAAAAAAGTGTGAATTATATGGGGATTTTTTTGGGGATTACTATGAAAATACGCATGAAACTTATTTTCCTGCAAATTTTCATACTAATTCCAAGAAAATCCCCCCCCCCCCCCCATGTAATTTACATTTTTCTTGTAGTGATTCTTACTTAATTGTCACCATTTTAGATTTCACGTTTCTTAAAAAACTATATAAGTTTATTATTATATCCTTATTTAGTGTTCTCATGAAGTTAAGTTTTCAATAAATAAATATGAATTAATTTACTATATATACACACACATAAAAAAGGATTACTTACTTAATTTTTCTATATTGATCAAAATGTATGTATACTATCAAGACTAATAATTTTCAACGAGTAAAATAGAAAAATTTATGTTATCCATGCATTGATTTTGTGAAATGACAAATGTAAAAGAACATCTGACATGCAAATCAGAACGAAGGGAGTACTTGATCACTTACTAAATTAATCAAGAGAGAATTAATTCTTTTTGCTTATTTTATCCCTACTATTAATATGATCTTCGAAAACTTAAACAAATTTTAAATAGCTATTTTTTAAAAATTAAACAAACCTACTGACCCGCCACCCTACCAAAGTGGAAAAAACTAATGGATATTTTTTATAAAAAAAATGATGGAAATAAATATAAAGTAGTGAAACACAAATTATGTTAACAACAATACCTCTTCCTTACTAACCCGCCACCCTACGGAAGTGGAAAAATTAAAGGGATCTTAGAGAAGTTAAGCAAAGGAAATTGGTCCCGGCGGGGCTCGAACCCGCGACCTTCGGCTCATAAGACCAACGCTCTAACCAACTGAGCTACGGGACCATGTTTTTAGAACTTGATGTAATTACTATAATATTTACAGTCTTCGTCTACTCCTTCTGCGTTCCTTTTTCATTTTTTTTCTGTGATTTATATTTGTTTTTTCTTTGTTTTAAAATATTATTATATGATAGGGGATAAATGAGAAGGGAATTACAAAGTGGAAATTAAACCACGCCAATATGGTGAAAGTTCAAACAATAAATGAATTAAGCTATTAAAATTTCTAGAGTTATTGTTATATTACTTATAATTTGTATTTTGTTTGTCGATCTTGTTTTCATAAGAATAAAATTATTTAATCTCTACATAACTAATAACTTCATAAAATCATACATAGATTCACTCATAACTAAACGTTGAATGCTACTAGTAGTTATATAACTCTAATCAGCTACCAAGCTATCCCATTATACACCTTTACTACAAATATTGAAAAATTTACAATTTGGTTTCATCATCTTCTTTACGTCTCTCTATGAATTCTCTAGGGTTCTTACCTAGATAATCAACATAACATGCACAACAAGTTCTAGTAGTTCATTCCAAAGAACAAATGAACAAGGATATACTGTAGATAATAGCACAGGAAACATACCACGTTGAAGAGTATATAGACAAGGAGATACTCCAATAACAGAAGTTAAACCTATGGAAAAGACCTATTACAAATAATTTACCAAACACAAATAATTTACATATATAGGAAGTTTACTAGAAACATAAATATAAAAACTTACATTATTTAGAACAGAGTGAAGTTTCCCTTTCGAAAAACCTGAAAAGCTTCCAAAATAACTTTACACAAACTTTGAAATCAAGAATTGAAAACTTTTTTATATCCAAACTTTATAATTTTAAAGAGGAAAAAGATTTGGCTTTTTGGGGGATTTTAGAATGTTGATGGTTGTGGATTCCTTCGGCTTTTTTCGCCTTCTGCTTTTCCTCTTCTGATAATGTCTTCTTATATACACACTTCTGGACTTCAAACTCCGGACTTCAAAATGAAAAAGAATCTTATCTTCTCCGTCGGGTACGTATTGGGCCCCATCGCACGTGAAATGATTCCTTCTTTCTACATTATTATCAGTCCTTTGTCTGAAGTATTGTCTGTCAATACTTATCTCTTACCTATAAATTAATTTTTTTAAAAAAATAAAGACGCGTCCCAACAGTTTTTTCACATGTGTGGTAGTGAGTAAAGTGGGACTCACATTTTTTGTTCGTGCATCCATCGCGGCGAGCGATATGACCCTGGATAATAGTAACCATATGGCGCGTAAAACATCTCTCGAAATATAGTATCCATCGCAGCATGTGATACGTCCCTTGAAATAGTACATACTCATTAATTTCTTATTCTCTCTCAATGGACACAAGACTTGTCACAACCATGTCTGAGAACAATACAAAAGAAATGTTCACATAAATAGTGAGGAGATGACCATTTTCATAATAACGCAGAATTCACAACAACACAATAATTCAACTAGCTTTTCAAACCATTCTCAACGCATCACACCCTAACAGTTAATCACATTGTCTTTTTACTACACCTTTTCATCACTAGAATTAATCAACATGGAAAATTCAACCCATGACCAAGGCTCATAAATACACGAATTTCATATACTTACCAAGGATTTAGAAATTCAATTGCCTCAAATAGTCGAACAATTACTCTGGGACTTGATCCTTCCCTTTTTGTGGTACTTCAAACTCAAAGCAATCTATTCACATCAATAATCACAATAAGATTTTGAAATTAACAACACTCATATTACTATAGGTCTAGCCTATACCCAAAAGCTCACTCAGATTATGATTAAGTTTTTAAATCTTGATTAAAATCAATAGGTCAAATCTCATATTTCTTAAATTTCAAGTCTAGAGTTAAATCATAATTTATCCAAACACTACAATCTAATATTTAATTACTTATTTCAATATATAAACACTTAATTCAGAATATGATAAAAAAAATTTATAATATTCAAACTGAAAGTCATTGGTCTGCCACCAGAAATCATATCGCAAGAGGATAAGAAGAAAAAAACTTAAGACTACGTAGCACTAGACATTTATAATTCATAAAGCTTCATCATCTGATTTATCCAAAGTCTTGTCATTATTACATAATCATTAACTTTCAATTTCCTTGTCAATAATCATGTTAATATTACCCACTACTATTCTCTACCCTAGGTTTTTAGGGAACTACTTTTCATTGTTTCCTAACTTATTAATATAATCATGTGTATTGCACATCCTAATAACTACTATTATATATGCAGAATCAAAAGGTCTGTACCTGAAGTGTGAAGTTCTTTTCTTGTGGCGCCAAGTTGTGCTTCTCTATCAAATTGTGGACTAAAATATTAAGCCTAATTAACTTATTCTTACAAAAAAGTTAAACTTAGGGTATTAAATCAATTTGGACTTGAGACATTAAATATCTACTAAAAAACTTATTATTTAATAAATACCACTAACAAAATATCTGAAGTTACCAAATAGTTTTAAAATTTTCAAACCAACTTCCTCCCCTAATTCGAAATAACTTGGGTAACTATCAAGAGGGGTGAAACGATAATTTCATAGAAGTTTTCAAAAATAATTTTTTTGAATCATTATATTATCCACCACTAAAAATCATGTTCATCCTCAAACATAAGGAAGAAGAAAAAAGAATAACCAACGTAGCCTACCAGTCAATGTTCATCTCTGTAAGTGAGCTCCTCCTTAAGACCATTCCATCAATATCAACTATTTAGAGCCAAAAATTTCCCCTAAATTAGGTGCTAAATATAACGATTTATTCCCCTAATTCATTTTTTGATCCGTAAAACTTAGATTCTTGGTTAAATATTGTTGGAGAAGGGTTTTGGACAGAATTGGATAGTAGGAAAAAGCCCTAACCGCATCTTAGGATCATAATTTGGGTCTTGGGTTATTGGATTTGTCATAATATGGGTAAATTAACTCTTAATTATTGATCCCCATATTGAATTATTTGTTTATCGACCTAGAACAAGCGAAAAGAATCTGTAAAGGGAAGAGTTAAGTTTCGTAGGAAGATTCAAGTTTTGTTCTGTAACGACCTGTTTAGTCATTTTGAGCAGCAGATTTTATTTCTGGAAAAACAGGCTGAGACGACGGAACCCACGACGGACCGTCATGAGCACGATGGACCGTCGAGGGGTCTCGTTTCAAAACACTTAGAAATTCTGAAAAATGGGTACTGAAATCGACTCTCTGAACTTCGTAACGGAATAGCAGGACGGACCATCACAGGCGTAACGGACCGTCACAGACTCTTCAGAGAATTGAGTCTCTGAACTCTGTGACGGAGCAGCAGGACGGACCGTCGCAGGCACGACGGCCCATCACAGGCTGCGTAATCCCAGGCGAGGTCGGATTTCTTTAAATGTTTAAGGGACGTTTTGGACTATTCCTGCTTTAATTATAAAGTTAGTGGGTTAATGTTAATAAGTCTAACTACTTGGGGGTTAAAAGAGGTAACCTTAAGTTAATTAGTGGGTTATTATTGCCATCTTTTATTCTTAATTATATGCTAATTAGGGTAAAAGAAAGAGGGTTTGAATAAAGAAAATAGAAAGAACAATAAGAGAGAGAGAGGATCGATCGAGAAGGGGAAAACACAAAGCTTTGGGAAATTTGCTTGCTTGATCACTAATCTTCGGTGGAGGTAGGTTATGGTTTTTATACTATTCGTAGTTAACTCTTAATAGCAAATGATATGTGTTGGGTGTATTGTAAGTCTTCTATATGCTTAATTGTATGCTTGCATGAATGTGATTATATAATTGTGATGAAATAAGCATGATGAAGCTATTGAATCCTAAATCTTGAAAACCCCTTGTTAATGATGATGCCTTGGTATGCCTTGGTTTTAAACATACTGATCTCTGTCGATCCCTTCGGTTGTTTGCTCCTTGTCTTGATGTCTCTGGTTGATTTCCCGATTTCCCGACTCTTGATAGATAAGAAAATATCTTATGCCAAAACAGATGAAATATAAAAGGGAAATTTTTAAGAGAAACAAGAAATTTTTTTAAGAAATAGTATCTTGAAAAAGTCACTGCCAAGTCATGTCGTGTAAGGCTTAACGAGTTTCTTTGAGTCCGACGCTTGTTGAATGAATTTCAGAGGCATTCTGGACATGTAGGGAAGAACCATGACGAAATTTTAAGGCCATCCTCAAAATTTCTATCCCAGTTTAGTATCTTGCTCATCTTTCCATTGTAACCGAACAGATCGCGGAATTTTTGAGATCTTCTCAAAAATTTTGTCCCAGTCGCAAATTCGAAATGTCTTTTGTCTGGCTTGCTGAAGAGGAGGCTTTTTCTGGAGAATTTTTGAGTCCCTCTCAAAAATTCTGTCCCTATTTTACTGTAACGGGGAATCTTACGAGATATATGACCGAGCCCTTGTGGCGCCTACGTATCCCGTTAAGGCGGGAATCAAGTCAAACGTAGTTCCCCTTAAAGGTTAATAAAAAATAAAATTTACAAAGAAACCGATCGAGGCGACAAAGGCCGCCTACGTATCTCATTCTTGAGAATTCAGGTCGAACGTAGTTCAGATACAAAGAAATTATTAAAAAGGGATAAATGGGGTGACCGAAGCCGACATAGGCCGCCTACGTATCTCGTTCTCGAGAATTCAGGTCAGACGTAGTTCGTTACAAGAGGGATTATAATTCAAATTCGAACAAATACAAGCAAACAGAAGATTACAGGTAAATGATAAAAATGCAAAACGAACTTCACGCGCAGTATCTCTTGACAGCATCTGAGTTGATAGGCTTGGGCCATACAGCGCCATCCATCTCTGACAAGACTAAAGCACCTCCAGATAGTACTTTGCGAACCATGTAAGGACCTTGCCAGTTTGGTGCGAACTTTCCTTTGTATTCGTCTTGATGAGGAAAAATACGCTTAAGGACCAACTGACCAACTTCGAAATTTCTGGCTCTTACTCTTTTGTGAAAAGCGCGAGTCATTCTTTGTCTATACAACTGGCCATGACAGACGGCGACCATTCTCTTCTCATCAATCAAAGATAGTTGATCAATTCGTTTGCTAACCCAATCCGCGTTGCTTAACTCAGCTTCTTGGATGATCCTCAATGACGGTATCTCGACTTCGACAGGTACGACTGCTTCTGTTCCATATACTAGCAGGTATGGAGTAGCCCCAGTCGATGTTCTGACCATTGTTCGATAACCTAGTAGAGCATATGGCAACATTTCATGCCAACCTCGCTGCTTGTTGATCATTTTCCTCAGAATCTTTTTGATATTCTTGTTGGCGGCCTCTACAGCTCCGTTCATTTGAGGGCGATAAGCAATTGACCTTCGATGAGTAATCTTGAATTGTTCACATATCTCTTTCATCAGATGACTGTTGAGATTCGCACCGTTATCAGTGATGATGGATTCTGGAACTCCAAATCTGCATATCAAATTGTTGCGGACAAAATCAGCCACCACCTTCTTGGTTACCGATTTGTAAGAGGTTGCTTCCATCCACTTGGTGAAATAATCAATGGCAACCAAAATGAATCTGTGTCCATTAGAAGCGGCTGGCTCTATAGGACCGATGACATCCATTCCCCAAGCTACAAATGGCCAAGGTGAACTCATAGCATTAAGTTCATGAGGTGGCACCCGTATCAGATCATCGTGCACTTGACATTTGTGGCATTTTTGTACGAATTTGCAACAGTCATTTTCCATAATCATCCAGAAATAACCCGCTCGAAGAACTTTTCTTGCCAAAGTAAGCCCATTCATGTGTGTACCGCAAACTCCAGCATGTATCTGTTCACAGCTTCAGCAGCATCCACGCATCTTAAAAGATCCAAATCCGGAGTCCTCCTATACATGACTTCTCCATTCAGAAAGAAATTGAGAGCCATACGACGTATTGATTTCTTTTGATTAGATGTAGCGTCTTCTGGATATTCCCCAGACTCCAAGTACTTCTTTATGTCGAAATACCAAGGCAAACCATCTGGTTCTGATTCAACATGTGAACAATGGAC